TAAATGTATCAGGTTAATTTATTAGGATGAAAATGATCCAGAATAGTGAAACGAATGATCTTGACACATTTATTAAATTTAATATTCCTTTAGAAAACAAAATCATCAAATACAAAACCGGTTTTACTACTACGACCCGGTGTTGCTGCACACCATAGAGAACATGTCTTTCTTGCTTCTGTTTCTACTCATCACCTCCCTGCTGACCACCTGAGCTAGGATGTAGCCTTCCCTCCTCTCCTGGCTGCTTCCCACCCGCGTGACTGCTGGCTTCAAAGCTCACTTGCTGTACGCGCTCTATACTCTGGGTGTCTGAGGCCAGGCAGGGACATGCGTAAGGGTTGTCCAGGAAAGCTCTGACTTGAACATTGGTGAGGCTGCAGACAAGAGGGCTCACTGCCAGCCTGGATGTTATCCAGATCTATGAGATCAGTGAGGGTCTTGGCACCTAGATTGACTTCAGGAGTCTTCCTGACCCTGAAGGAATCGTCACCAACTGATTCGTCATGCCCAGATCCTCTCATAAGTCTCATATCCAAGATCTTTGTGACTGCCACTCTTCTCTCCTCCTCATCCTTACTGCAGAGCATTGTCTGCAGAACTGCCTCGAGGATGAGCATACCAGGAAGATCTCCTCACAGTCTGCTCCACAATCTGAACAACCTTCCTTGGCTGACTCCTCAGGAGCTCAAGCTGGAAGAGAACATGCCTCGGACCTTCGGAGAACGATGACTTGACCTTGGTGTTGAACCAATTTGGCAAGTAGACACTCACGATGAATTGGACAATAAGTCTCAGGTTGTGAAGCTGGTTCCCTTTCAGTTTATGATAAGCGACCCAAATTCTGCAGAACCTGAGAGCCGTTGTGAGCCACCTAGAATGTGAGACTGGACCTATCTGCAGGTAAGCAAGTCTATCAGGCATGACCCCAGTTTTGATGGCACTGCTAATCATGTAACCATAGTACTGGTCAGTACTCAGGTCGTCAATGACAGTATGTGCAAGCTCAACGAGTGGAGGGCCAACTGTGATTTTTTCAAAGCTCGGATTTATTTCTAACTCAGTGGCAGAGTCCAGCATCTTGCCAAGAGGACCAGACCATCTGTTGTTTGAAAGAGTCTTGCCCTCCAGCTCCTGGATCAGATGTCTGAGTGGCAACTCGTTGGTGTGGAGGTCACAAACAATCCAGACCAGCTTCCTCCCAATCTTCCGCTCTATCCACTGTATGACCCCCCTTGCCACCCTGTGTTCGTGTTGGTGCTGTCCCCTCCAATGGCCTGCAGGGTCTGGTCTACGTTCCTCTCTCTGAGCCAGTTCACAATGTTATCTGCCACTATCTCAGCTGGTTTCCTGATGTCATCTTTCTCTGGAGTGAAATGCCACAAATACTTCCCTCCTGGTTCACTGCAGCAGGAGTAGTGTTCCTCCTTCACCATGGCAGGGAACAACTTGTCAGAATCTCCAACTTTCATGAGCACTTTAGTGTCATCCCTTCTCCCATCAAAGAACAAACAATTGATTCCATTTTCTCTTATCCCCTTATCAAACTCCTCTTCTAGGTTACTGACAAGTTTCTCCTGAGCTCTCCTTACTTTGTTATGATCTATCACCAGGTGAACATCATCAGGTGTTATCAAACCACCGTCAATCCAGGCAGCTGTTGCTATCTCTGCAGTTTCTCTGAGACCAGTGTGGTGTCGCATGCTGGCCAGAGCTATGCTCGGGATATCTTTCCTATTTCGAATCTTATGCCTGGAAGGTTTGGGATCATTATTTTTCTGGGTTAGGGACAAAGTCACCCATTCTCCTGGTCCTTTTCGGATCAGCCATGGGGAAGTCATTAAACTCTGAATCAACTTGACTCCAATCATCGGCCTTTTTTACCTCACCCTGGGCCTTCTCAAGTCTCTTTTCCTCGGCAACTCTTCTCCTCTTCTGTCTCTCTGTGGCAGCCTCCTGTCTCTTGGACTCCGGAATATCTTGGCTAGAAATCATGAGAGCCCCTATACTGCCACTCTTCTCTCTCTGTGCTTTGACAAATGCCAGTTCGATCACAGGAATCTTCAGTTCACGCTTGCAAATACAGGAGATGTGGGCCTCGGATTTACAGTCACGATCGCATCCAAACTCAGGACAGAGAACAATTGGGCACTTGCAAGTAATTATGTCAAATAAATGGTCCAGTTGCTTGGCAAAGCTGTCCTTAACTGCAAGTTTTCCTCTCCCAAGAGAGATATCTCTTGCCTTTTCCCAACTGGCTAGCAGTCTCTCACTAATCTTCTTCTGACTTGTTATGACTGGAGGCTTGAACTGAGCGTTAGCCAGAGTGTACTGTGCCAAGACAGCTTTGGTCATATCACTGGCAATGTCTTTGTTTGTGTAAGTTCTTTGGTTCTTTTCACTGATTTGCCTGATTAAAACACCGTATCTCAAAGCATCTCTCAATGTAGGCAACTCCGACTTCAGGAGCTCTCTCCCAGACCCAAGATAGTGACTGAGATGGCTGGATTTTTGGTTCCTCGTCCTGACACAAGCAGCCATCGCAAATATTATCAACTTATAAATGCATCAGAATCTGAAACAGAAAAAAATATTGTTAGTTGGGTTGTTAAAGAATGAAGTCAGAAAGCAATGTTCACTATTTAATTGTAATGCACTAATGCAGCTGTACGTTAGATTTTCGATAAATTTCACGCTAAAATTTACCTAGCAAAAGGTTGCAAAATATTGAAACTGAAATTATTTTCTGTTTATATACACTAAAATCTACCAAAAAAGTGATGGGCCATTAGTTTTAGCTGATCTTCCCTCCTATGACACACCCTATTAGGACATGTATATGAGTAAAAATAAATGAATAAAGTTACATATATTAAGCCAAAAATATTAATTGAAAAACTTTTCGTAGACAGAGCTTGGATGGCTAAATTTTAGATTGACCAATAATTTTAATATAAAAAATGCAAAAATATTCAAGAACACAACTTTCTTGATATTTACTCCATTGGAAACGACTGTAAACATAGAACCGATTACTGTATTGGCGGACTAGCCGATCAACTGATCAGTTGATGCACACAACAAAGTGTGTTTCTCCCAAGGCTTTCATTAATCAAAGTTTTGTTCATTACTGGAACTGAAAATCCATATGGGAGCTAATTCGTTAACCGAAATTTCGTTAATTGAAACGTTCGTTAATCGACGGACCACTGTACATGGTGCCTTTAGAACAGGACGGAAGATTGATTAGCTTTTGCAATTCTTCTGGTATCTGTTCAATGAGCCGTCTAAGAAGATCTGACAAAACTGACAGCAAAGTTTTTTTCCATCAGTTATGTGGTACAAGACAGGTTAAAGATTGTACTGTAGCAGAAACAGCTGTCTTGATCTAGAAAATTTTTGCAAAATACATAGATAAAACATTCAGTGGTCCAAAGAACAAGGTTCCTGAATGTTTGTTACTCTGGTGTTAAGGTTTAAATATTATAGTATGAGTAAAAAGTTGTCCGTCAAATTGGTGCCATCCAAAAACTGTGTTGAGTGGTGCGTCCTCTTCAGAAATGGGGGATTTAACCAAAACCCCCTGGATCCACCACCACCAGCGTTCAGCTCACCTTCATTGTACTGTTGATTAGGGTCTCAAGACAATTCTAGCCTAGAATCATATACAGTGGGGTATGCTATAACGAATCTAATTGGTTCTAGAACCTTGTTCGTTATAGCATTCGTTCGTTATAGGATTAATTCGTTCCAGGCCCCGAAATACAACCACTTAACACTGAAAAATATAATATAAAATTGTAAAAATTGTAAAAAAGTGCATAAATAAGCATCTAAACCCCTGAAGTAAAGAACATCATTAATACTTGTAATAAAAAAACAATAAATTAGTAAAAAAAAAAAGAAAAAATAAGAATTTTTTTTTTCTAAATAATGTTCGTTGTAGGAGTTTCGTTCGTTATAGCAATCTCAATTTTATAGGTAAAACCGTTCGTTATAGGAATATTCGTAGTAGGATCCGTTCGTTATAGCATACCCCACTGTATACTGTATTGAGAAGTTTGAATCTTGCACATCCTTACCTGTGAGAGGGATACCAAGGCATCATCCCATGTTTTTTTACTTCAGAATGCCTGAAGGGACGTGTTGTGTGGATCACTGGGGCTTCCAGTGGAATTGGCAGAGCCCTGGCCATTAGATTAGCCCAAGCTGGCGTCAGGATTGCTCTTTCTGCTCGGTCAGTGGAAGCTCTTAACCAGGTTAAACAAATCTGCATTGGTGAGTTGTAAATTTGATTTCTACTGTACAGTAAAGCCTTGAATAAAGACAGTAATGTGTCCTCTAATATTGCAGTGTAAGGTGAATCATCATATCATGAATCATTAATTACCATTAAAATAAAGCAATAACAATGAGATGCATTCCCCAGTCTGACCTTTTCATATCTTTTGTGTGGCTTTTTTACCTACTTTCCCCCTAAACAATAAAATTAATAAAAAATGAAAATTATATTCTTTAAATAATGTATATGAATGCTCCTCATACACTCTAAATCAATAATAATATGGTCACACAAGAAGAGACGGGACGCCATTGTTGTTGTCAGTGTTTACTCCCATGATGACAGTTCTCCATCTGAAACTGAAGAAACTAATTGGTTGTTGCTGTAATAAAATTAATGAAAAAAATAAACCGTTTTTTCTAAAAACCAGTTTTTGTGATATGATCCAGAATGCGATGCTTAACCTAGGTATATTAATGCCTAGCAATAACTCGCCAGGCCAACATACAGGCAATTAAAACATCTAATTGTTACTTAATAAGTATTATTAGGAGGACACGTCGCTACCTGGCATTTAATTGCAATTGTCGAAACCCCCCTCCTTCACCCCCCATCGCACGCACTGCCACCTTCATCTCTTGCCTTAGAGGGAGCAGTAAATAAAAGTCAACTCTCGAGGGGTGGAGATGGGTGGGTTATCAGCGTCGCAATTTCAATTCAATTTCAATTGTTTATTCCTTGATAGAGGAAGCTGGATCCTAGTGCTATCACTAGGTACCCCTGTACAATAACACCAGAAGCATCTGGCAAGTGTGACAAGTATATACAGTATAAATATTATAAAGGGGCTTACTAAAGCCTAATGAAGGAAGGATATTCCTGTAGCACATAATCAATGTTATTTACATAATATGTGGCCAGTATGGGGAGGATCATCGTGTCTCCGTCAGGGGGTCATGGAGTGGTGGTCCAGCAGGCGTCACGGAAGCGTTGTGTGTGGGGACATCTTAGGAGTTAGTGGATAAGGGTGCGGCTGTCGGGTCTTTGCATAATGCACAAGAGCGTTGCTGAAGGGGATGCAGGGATACCAATCTCCCAAGCAAAGTCATACCCAATGATGATACGGGCAGCAATCACGTCCCCTTTCCGCGACCCTTTCCCGTAGACGTACGAGAGGTCAGGAAGTTTACGGAGGACATCGTACCAGGTGGGCGGGGAGTCCAGGGGGATGGCTGCTTCCCGAGCTTCTCTCTGTTTGCGGCGAATTTGGGTCCTAAGCTGTAAAAGTGTTCGAGGAACAACGTACAGTAGTCAGGTGTGGCCTTGTTGCAGACAGTCTTGGCAAGGCCATCTGCTGCCTCATTCCCCAAGATACCGACATGACTGGGTATCCATAGGAATGTCACTGGACGGCCTGCATCCTGAAGTGTGGATGTTAACCTTTGTATTCGGAGGATGAGGTCCTTATTTTCCCCTGATCCAAATGCGATCCCATCGAGAGCAGACCTGGAATCGCAGCAGACAAGCAAGGGGCAGAAATCATCTGCTTCTTCCTCAGTGAGAAGGGCAGCAAGGAGGGCTATTAGTTTAGCCTGAGTGGAGGATGCCCCGTCAGAAACTCTGAGAGACAGTTTGATAGGCTCAGGGGCATCAGGATGGAAGATGTAGACACCAGCCCCGGCCCTACCTGTAGCGGGGTCAACAGAACCATCAGTGTAGAGGACGACCCTACCTGGGGACCAGTGGGCGATCCTGGAGAGGTGGTAATTGCAGAGAATAACAGGGTTCACGTGGGATTTTGGGCGGTCCACCGAGGGCAATCACTTCAGGTTGAAAATCCAGCCAGGGAGAAGGAGACAAACCAACAGCAGGGGTGACAGCAATATCAGGCAGGAGGTCGTGTTCCTGAAGGGCTCGGATGAGTGACCCTCGCCACTGTCTTCTAGATGGAAGTCGGCCTCGGACAGCAGGAGTCAAGTTGGCTTGGACATAGTTGCCCCGAGGATCCCGTAGAATGGAAACGGCAGTTATTAGGTAAAACTCCTGGACACGATCCTGTAAGGGGGAAAGACCAAGTTTGGTATATAGAGAAGTAGAGCATGTCCACTGAGGAGCCCCAAGGATGATACAAGCACCTTTCCTCTGGATAACTTCGAGACAGTTGACAGCAGTCCGACTCATGTTGACGAGGGCAGGGCGGCGTAGTCAACACAGGAACGGACAAAGGACTTGTACATGGTGAGAAGTACAGGGATGGTGGCACCAAGGGAACCCCTGCACATGGTAGAGAGGGGAGCGAGACGCCGAAAGCACATGTCTCGAAGATAGCGGACTTCAGGGATCTGACAACGTGTGCGAGTTACATACACACCCAGGTATTTTGTCTCATTAACCCAGTCCAAGGGCGTTCCTGATAAGAGAAGGGGTGGAGGTACAACACGACCGTGCCACATGGCTTTTGTTTTCGCAGTTGAAAGAAGGAAACCAAGTGAATCACACTCTCTGGAGACCAGATCAAGGGCTTCCTGCATGCTGAGGTAGTCAGGGGCTTGGAGGAGGACATCGTCGGCATATCCTGAGTGGACAACTTCTGTCGGCCACGGGAGAGATGCAATGGAGTGCATGAGAGTGTTAAACAAGGTGGGACTCAGGACTCCACCTTGAGGGGTGCCGAGGTTCATTTCTTGAACAGGAGACATAGAGCCTTCAACGCTAACCCGGGCCTGACGTCCAGTGAGGTAGAAGGCGATCTATTGAAGAAGTCTCCCTTTAACCCCTAACCGTGCAAGTTCAGCTAAAATGAGGGCAGGCTGAGCCATATCAAAGGCTCCCTTGATATCAAGGAAGACAGAGACGCGGGCAGTCTGATTGCAATAAAAGGAAGCAATGGAGAGTGCTGTGCTGCGATGTTGTATGAAACCATTGAGGGAGTTGTGGAAGCCGCCTATGGTGTGAAGAAGGCGACGATGGAGTATCCTCTCCATCATCTTGCAAACACAGGAGGTAAGACTAATGGGTCGATATTTCCCAGGATCTCCCGGCTTAGGGATGGGGATAATAGTGGCATTTTTCCAGTTAGACGGGAGAACCCCATGTTCATAAGACATATTGTAGAGAGCAAGGAAGGGGCCGTTAGGAATATTAGTACAGGCGTTGAGGACAGAGTAGGTTATCTGATCATCCCCAGGAGAGGTATCTTTTCTAGAGCGACGAGCACTGTCAAGCTCGAACTGCGTGATGGGATGATCAGTGGGGGCAGGGGAGGTAAGAGCAGCACGAACAACAGGCTCAGACGCATCGATGCGAGCTTGCACTGCCTCCTACATTGGATCTGGAAGTGCCTCAGGGGAGGAAGCTCGTGCCCAGCCCTCCATTAAAGAGCAGGCAAGGGTGGCGGGGTCAGGGTGGGGAGGAGGCCTCCGTCGAGTACCCCGTATAGCATTGATCCGATTCCATACATAAGAGGTAACGACTGGAACGATAGAGACCCCGTGAAGGCTAGCCAGTCTGCCTCACGAATCCGACGACGCTCCTGAGTTGCAAAGGAGCACCAATTTTTGAAGTCTTCCCAGTCCTCTGGAGGGCGAGACCTTCCTATGGCAGAGTGGAGATCACGGGTTACCTGCCGGAGATGTCTCATGGCAGGGATATGATACCAGTAGTTGGTGGCACTTCTGGGGTGATGGGGAGGGCGTGGAGGGGTAGCGCGATTGACAGAGTCATACACGGCATCAACAAAATCAGCGCTGTAAGAGTCAAGGGACTGGGTGACAACATAGGAATCTGCCCAGGTAGAAAGGTATTGGGTAAAGGAAGGAACAGCATCTTGTGTGAGACGAAGGCGAGGGGATCAATAAGGAGCTGATGTAGGGGCAGAGAAGGAGAGCCAGAGATGGGTAGTAACGGCAAGATGGTCACTATACAGATCAGGCTCGGTGCAGACTGTTGGATGAAAGGAGGTATGGCCGTTCAATAGCAAGCCAACATCAAGGAAACTATGGGGGAGGCGAGTAGGATCGTCAGGACAAAGAAAGCAAACATAATCATCCCCATTAAGAAACTGTGAGAGATGTGATCCGTTAAGGGTACATGGCGTGGGATGATCCGGAGTAAGAGTGGGATGGCGGGCATTAAAGTCGCCAAGAACAATAGTGGGAACCCCATCATGGAGGTCGTGAAGAACCTGGGGGTCCAGAGAATCACTCTAGAAATGAACATTGACTACACGAAGGGTCCGGTCACCAAGAGTAAGGGAGACAGAAAGTAATTCAGACGGGGGTCCATGTGAGTCAGGTGAAGGGAGTCGAGCAGATGGAATGGTGTTACGCACAAGGGTGAGGAGGTCACGAGCCTGCCCACGGTACCGAGGCAGGGTGTAAACAGTATAGCCAGAGAGGCCGAGTGGAGTAACATCGTCTGTATTGGTTTCCTGAATTAGAGCAACATCTACTTGATGGGAGAGCACAAACTGGGCGAGGTCCAAGTCACTGGATGTTCCATTGTAAGAAGAGGAGGGAACGGCCTTTGGTGTGAGATGAGTCGGTGGGGCTAGACAGGGCTCCCGAGGAGGTACCATATTCTGTTGAGAAAAATGGAGAGGGAGGAGTGGGAGAGCGAGGGATGGATCCTCCATCTCGGGAGATGGAAGGAGGCGGGTCTCCAGGGCTTGCAAAGTGCACCCCTGTTGGGTCAGGGTGTCCAGAATGAGTTGTTGTTGCCTCTGCAATGTAGCAATTGTTTTCACAAACAAGTCGAGTTGGGCGGAGAGATGGTTGATTTGCTTGGAGTGGCGATCCAGACGGAGTGTGATTGTTTCCATAGAACCAACTTGGTGTACCTGTGCAGGAGCTGGAGGTGGCGGCGAGGATTGCCGAGGGCCCAACTGGGCATGTGGTGGTGGTAGCGACGGAATGGGACGGTGAGGGTTCAGGTGAGTAAGAGGTGGTGGTGCTGGTGCTGGTGAAAGACAGCGGGGGTCCGGGTGGGCAGGAGGTGG